TGCCTGGCACATAGTAGGTGTTTTAAATAAGTGCCAATTGAGGTTTTTTTCTTTCTCTTTTTCCCCATTGTTATAAAGGATGGCTCTCTGAGAACGGGAGGGTAGAGGAATATGTTGGGAAATAGAATCCATGCAAAACAAAGGCAACTGATAAAAAATTAAATTAAGAAAGCAGAGGCTGGGTTGGATCATGTCTGATGTCATTTTATGCCTGCAAATTCTATGATCCTGCAATGTGTGCTCTGTTATAGCGATGGTGGTAAGGGGTGTGAATACGCTGGCATATAGATGAGTGAATAGTCCAGAGTGTGTGTGTGTGCGTGTGTGTGTGTGTGTATGTGTGTGCGTGTGTGTGTGTGTGTGTGTGTGTACACTAGGGGGTATGGATGTAGGGATGGTAAACATTTATCCTGTGCCTCGCAGAAGCAACGTATATCTGGGTAGGTGTGAACACAGAATGAATGCACTAGCTAGTGGGGTGGGAAGACCCCAGGCAGCTCGGTGACCCAGTATGGAGGACATGTTCAAATCTGGCCTCGCTAGCTGTGTGACTTGGTTAAGCTGCTGTCTGACTCAGTTTCCTCATCCATGAAGTCGGGATCATTAGAGCCCAGCTCCCAGGGCTATTGTGAGGACCAAAATGTGGTAACAATTATAAAGCGCTGGGCGGAAGTCTCGTGTGTGCCATTGGGAGGGAATGCCAGTGAATGCCCGGGGGCGCACAAGCCTGGAGCTGTTCCTGGGGGGCATTGGGAGGTCTGGCTAGGGGGAGCTGCATTTGATACATGAACGATGACTCTCTTAGAATAACTTGGGTGTGATTTTTTAAGCCCGTTGGCCTGGCTGATGCTTTAAAAGCCAGGCTGTGGCTGACAGCCCCTATGGATGCATCCGGACGTCTTCACTTCCCCTCTCATGTAATATTGGCATGCTGTTTCCTGGCACTCACTGCTCATCCCTGGCGTCCGTTGATGAACAGACCTGTCTCCACTCCCAAGGTCTCTGCTGGGGAGGGAGAGAGAGCCATTTGTGGAGATGGCCAGGAAGCTCTCCCCGGCCTTGGCCCAAAGCCCACACCACTTTATCTACCCCTTTTGTGAAGAAGGCTAGACTGGTTTGTGTGGGGGAGGGGAAAGAGCCCAGCACGTGAGCGATCCGGGCGCAGCCTTTGCTGATCCCCCTGGATAGGTCTCTCTCTCTCTCTTCCTGCAGATTTTCCAGGCTGTGTCCCTCCAGGAGAATGCAAGCTCGACAAGGGCTGGGATGCTTTGTTTCCATTTTTTCTAGCCCTGATACCGACACAGAACCTGGGCACAGGGCAGGCAATTAACCAATGCTTGCTGGAGTGAATCGAGCTGGATTGCCCCCGTCACTCTCCTCTCAGGGCTTCAGTTTCCCATGTGTACAGCGGGGGAATTGGGCTGCACGGTCACAAAGGTCCCTCACAGCTCTTCATTCTGTGGCTCAGTGATCCTTTCCTTTGTTCTGAGTCCCACAGTCCTTCACTCGGGCATGCACCATCTTCCCTAACTCTCTTAAGTTCTGTGGATGCATCGATGCATGGGTGATTGGGTGGGTGGGGATGGTGTGGGTGGATGGATAATGAGATGGATGGATGGATAGATGGATGATTGGTTGTGGGGATGGATGGTTGGATGGGCAAATGGATGGATAGATGGATGAATGAATGAATAGATAGAGAAGGGGGTGGATGGATGGGGAGGTGATTTGGTAGACAGGCGATTGGATGGATGGATGTAGATGATGATAATTCCTCACGAGAGGCAGTGTAGTATAATGGTTAGAGATACTGGTTAGAGAGCTAGCTTGAAGTCATGACGTCCTGTCTCTCTGACATTTCATAGCTGGGTAACAATGGGCAAATTATTCTGCCTCTTAGTGCCCCCAGACAGCTCCCTAAGACCAAGTTTTGGATGAAGTGCCAGTTCGCCCCAGTGAAAGTAGTTTGCACTCTGGGACTTCCCATGTGAGTGACACGTTGGACTCAGTTCTCCATATCCTCACAGCGTAGTCTTTCCGAAGTGCTTTCACGTTCAAGGCTGTCACGTTTCGGGGGGAGGAGTGTTTTGTGTCCCCAACGCATGGCACACAGGTCCTGGCACACAGTCGGTGGAGACTGAGGCAAATTGTTGTTGCTTCCATGTACCCCATTCACGGCCGGCCCTTTTGAGATAAATAAGACGACCGTGCCCTTTTTTCTAGGGCTTGAAAGCCAATCCCGTAAGCCCTGGGTGCCACCAGGCAGCTCTCCAAGACTGTAAGTGGCAGAGAAGGAAGGTGCTTACCTGAGATGGTGGATGGAGTTTGCTTACGTGGGAATTCCCCATACCAATAAAATCACAGGACCGTCCCTACCCTTAGGTGGCTTCCTCATACCATCCCTGGGTCTTCCCAGGGTTGTATTCTATGTACGTTTTACAGAAGAAGAAACTGAGGCATGGAAAGGAGGAACTTACCTGAATCACTCCATCATATAAAGCACCTACTATGTGTCAAGTCCTGTCCTGGGCTCTGGGAATACAAACACAATGAATGAAACAATCCCTACTCATTACCTCTGAAGGGAAAAACAGTCAAGATATGCATATGCGTAACAAGTTGATGAAGTAGGAGAATAAAAGTAAATGTCCCTAAATTTGGTCATTACCAGGTGGTTTGGGCGGAGGGGTGGGGATCCAGAAGGGCCGTGTGTTGAAGGGGCTGCTCGCGCTCCAACATGGAGGAGGAGGGGCTGCAGAGGTGGGCTGGGGAGGGAACACACTTAGAAAGTAAGAGGGTTGGAGCAGACCACCTCCGGGGCCCCTCTCGCTCTGTGGGGAGAAGTGATCCTTGGAGTCAGACTGGGAGGCTCAGAGCTTCCACGCTGGAAGGGACCTTCGAGGCTGTTATCGTCATTATTGGGCAAAGCATCGGCACTTGGCAAATGCTTGTTGACTGACTGATGGTAGCGGGATGCGGGGCTCCAACTAGCCCACCGTCTGTGTTCTTCCTTATTACCTTAACAAATTTCATCCCACTCCCCGCTTTTCCTATGCCACTACACCCAGGCCAGTCTCTCCCATTAGAATGTGAGCCCCTTGAGGGCAGGAATCTGGTTTTGCCTTTCCTTCCATCAAGAGCTTAGCATAGTGCCTGGCACACAGTAGGTGTTTAATCAATGCTTGATTTAATTCAGCACCCAGTGTGTCCAAAGCCTTGAGTTCTGTGCATAGGATGCAAAGATAGAGAGGTTCCTTCGCCAGCCTGACAGACACGCAGTGGCTTCCTCTTTGCCTTGCCCAAAGTCTCCATGGCTATACCTGGCCAAAGGGTGGGGAACCCCCGTCCTCTGGGCCTAATTGCAAGGGCCAGGCTAGTATCTGCAGCAGATTGGAGAGCTGGGCCAAAGATGGCGTTTGCCAGCTCAGAAGGAGGTAGGCCTGTTCAGCCTGATATTCAGCTGACCTGCTCCTTCTGGTCAAGCCTGGTTAATCCACTTCCTGTGTGGTCCCTCCAGCCACTAGGTTCTGAGATGAGAAGAATTTGGTGGAAAGAGCCCTGGAAGCCCAGGGTTCTAGTCTCAGGGTCACCCTCAACCAAAGGAGGGGTCGAAATAGAGCAGTGCTTCTCAGAGTTTGGCCCGAGGGTTCCTGGGGGTCCGAGAGACCCTCCTCAGGCAGTCTGAGAGATGAAAACTATTTTCATAATAATACTAAGGTATTATTTGCCAACTAAAACACTCCTCCCTTTAATTTAATCAGAACAATAGATTGCAACAGATCAGAGAAGCAAAGCAGATGGGAGAACCCAGCTGCCTTCTCTTAATCAGATGTTAAAGAGGTTTGCTAAAGTCTTCTCGCTAATTTGTGTGCGTTGGAAAAGGTAGTTCTTTTTCATAGAATTTGTTATATGTGTGAGCATGTAATGGGTCCTGGCTCTTCTAAAAGGAATGAATAAAATACAGATTTTAAACTGTATTAGCTTTATTTTCTAATATGGTAAATATTAATAGAGATAACTCATATCAACAAAAGTTCTTTGGGATCATCAATAATTTTTAAGAATATAAAGGGTCGGGGCAGCTAGGGGGCACAATGGATAGAGCACCGGCCCTGAAGTCAGGAGGACCTGAGTTCAAATGCGGCCTCAGACCAAACACTTGACACTAGATATGTGACCCTGGGCAAGTCACTTAATCCCAATTGCCTAAAAAAAGAAAAACGAAAAGGAAAAAAAGAATATAAAGGGTCCTGAAACCGAAAAGTTTGAGAGCTGCCAGGCTAGATGATTTTAAAGGACCTTCCCAGCCCTGACATCCCCTGTCCTGAGGCCCCTCCCAGCCCTGACA